TGGGGTCCCTTCTCAGTCTAGGATTCCATGATGGATGGATGGATGGATGGATGGATGGATGGATGGATGGATGGATGGATTCCTTCACTGTCTCAGACAAGATGACCTTTGTGGTCCTTCCCAAGTCTAGGATTCCATGATGGATGGATGGATTCCTTCATTGGTTCAGACTAGATGGCCTTTGGTGTCCCTTCTCAGTCTAGGCTTCTATGATGGATGGATGGATGGATGGATTCCTTCATTGGTTCAGACTAGATGACCTTTGTGCTCCTTCCCAAGTCTAGGATTCCATGATGGATGGATGGATGGGTGGATGGATGGGTGGATGGATGGATGGATCAATTCTTTCATTGGTTCAGACTAGACGACCTTTGTGGTCCTTCCCAGGTCTAGGATTCCATGATGGATGGATGGATGGATGGATGGATGGATGGATGGATGAGTGGATGGATGGATGGATTCCTTCATTGGTTCAGACTAGACGACCTTTGTGCTCCTTCCCAAGTCTAGGATTCCATGATGGATGGATGGATGGATGGATGGATGGATGGATGGATGGATGGGTGGATGGATGGATGGATCGATTCCTTCATTGGTTCAGACTAGACGACCTTTGTGGTCCTTCCTAAGTCTAGGATTCTATGATGGATGGATGGATGGATGGATGGATGGGTGGGTGGATGGATGGGTGGATGGATGGATGGATTCCTTCACTGTCTCAGACTAGATGGCCTCTGGGGTGGCCTCCCTAGCCTGGTGTGCTGACCCCCTCTTCCTCCCGCAGTGCCTCCGCTGCCCACGCTGAACCTGGGCCCACCGCTGGAGGAGGGCCAGGGCCGGACGCTGGCGGCCTCGTGCACGGCAGAGGGCAGCCCGGTGCCCAACGTGTCCTGGGAGACGGCGGTGCGCGGGGAGACCCGCAGCCAGCAGTCCTCGCACCCGCGCTCGGCCTCCGTCACCAGCGAGTTCTACGTGGTGCCCGGGCGCAGCATGCACGGCCAGGCCCTCACCTGCGTGGTCTCCCACCCGGGCCTCCAGCACAAGAAGAAGATCACCCACACCCTCAACGTGGCCTGTAGGTACACCCCACACGCGGGCCCTTCAGGGGAGGAAACTCCGGGTGAGAGGGATGCCTTGAAAAGCATTCGGGATGGAGAGTATTTCCAAAGGGGGAGGAAACTCTGGGCGAGAGAGCCGCCTTGGAAAGCATTGGGTCCTAGTGAAGTCAATACGAACTTTAGGAGGGTCTCCCCAGTAAAGGAGACCCCTAGGACCGCACAAAAGAGGGTCTATGACCTTGGCGAGCTGTCAGAGAAGCCTGATTAGAGCAATTTTATTAATATTAATAATTGAAATGAGACTCTTGCCAAGGCGAAGAAGAGGCATCGAGGTTTAATGAGCGATTCAGCTGAGTCGGATGCAAATGCGGGGATAGCTCACCCACAAGCATACCAGTATATTGATCAGAGGCATATTTATAGCAAATTCAAAGTTGCAGAGTTCAAACTCCCCACCCCGGCTTCCCTGTTGTTCCCTGCCCCTGGTGCCTCTGAACCAGTCAGGAAGCTCCAGTGGTCCGTAGGAACCAATGGGGAGACCTCTGCCACCTGGTGGTGACAGCCAATCAGGAGAGATGGAGGCGGGTTGAGGGAGCACAAAGGAATCTTGGAAAGGAAATGCCATGTGGCCAGTGAGACAAAGGGGAAATCTCAAGCCAGCCTGATCTATCAACATGTGTAGACTGGGGTGATTGTTTCTTGGTGGAGATAGCTGAGTTAATCAGAGCGAAGGCAAAAGGTTTTTTGAGGACCTTTTGTCCTTCAGGAGGAAATATGGTTAAGATTTTTGCCAAAGGGGCAAGCTGAGGGCTGGGCAATTCCTCCGAGGGCCACCCGCTGCCCAGGCTATTGTTCATGCAAAAGGAAGTTGTGGATAAAAAATTCCTGGAATGTTTGGGGCTTTGTAGTCCCTTTGGTGGAGTTTCTTCGTGTATATAGGGGAAACAAAGGGCAGAGGAAAAGGGGAAAGGCTTCTGCCACACAAAGAAATCAGAAAACACATTTCATACATCTAAAGTTCATAAAAGGCAAGATTTCATAAGGTTTGTCCATGTGGGGGGAAAGAGTGTCCATAGGGGATGGCTAAGACGCAAGGGTGTTGCACAAAGGTCCTGGCAGGAGCTCTTGAGTGGCCCAAATGGACCTGGTGTCTCTGGAAGCAAGCTTTGCTCCCCGTCCTTGGAGAACTACAGCTCCTGAAAGAGGCAGAGACTCCAAGGTCTAGCTATTCCCAAAGTTTCATGGGGTCCTCATTGTTGTTAAGGCCTTGGCAAATTGACCAAGACTTAACCCCTATTGTGCAGTCCTTTGTCCTTTGCAGAACTATAAGTCACCATCCCTTGTTTGGGGGGGGGGGGCATGCTCGATGTCACTAGTATTTATATTATTTTCAAAGGGAGGAAACTCTGGGCGAGAGAGACGCCTTGAAAAACATTGGCTTTTTAGAGGAGGAAACTTTGGGCGAGAGAGCCGTCTTGGAAAGCATTGGCCTTTTAGAGGAGGAAACTCTGGGCGAGAGAGCTGCCTTGAAAAGCATTGGCTCCTGGGATATATATTATTTTCAAGGGGAGGAAACTTTGGGTGAGAGAGCCGTCTTGGAAAGCATTGGCTTTTTAGAGGAGGAAACTTTGGGCGAGAGAGCTGCCTTGAAAACAATTGGCTTCTGGGATATATATTATTTTCAAGGGGGAGGAAACTCTGGGAGAGAGAGCCACCTTGAAAAACATTGGCCTTTTAGAGGAGGAAACTCTGGGTGAGAGAGCTGCCTTGAAAAATATTGCATCCTGGGATATATATTATTTTCAAGGGGAGGAAACTTTGAGCGAGAGAGCCGCCTTGAAAAACATTGGCTTTTTAGAGGAGGAAACTCTGGGTGAGAGAGCTGCCTTGAAAAATATTGCATCCTGGGATATATATTATTTTCAAGGGGAGGAAACTCTGGGCGAGAGAGCTGCCTTGAAAAACATTGCATTCTGGGATCTATATTATTTTCAAGGGGAGGAAACTCTAGGCGAGAGAGCTGCCTTGAAAAGCATTGGCTCCTGGGATATATATTTTTTCAAGGGGAGGAAACTTTGGGCGAGAGAGCTGCCTTGAAAAACAGAGTTGCCAGGTTTGAATTTCCCATTCCCCACCCCACCGCCGGCTCAGCAATGATTGGCTGGCACTCTTCAGGTAGGAGGAGGCTTGGCCTTCTTCTGAGCGCTGGGCTTCTGCCTCCTCGGAGAATCAGGAGAGAGGGAGACAGGACAAGAGGGAAACAATGGATTCTTGAGAGGATCATGGAAGTAGGAAATATCCAAGCGGCTAGCGAGTCCCGGGGGGGCGGGGGGTCTGCGAACCAGCCTTTGCTATTTTCTTTGACTGGCTGCAATAAACGTTGATGGCTGGCAAACCTGCCATAATCCGGATTTTTCCAGTGCTGAGAGACAGGAACAATGAGGGAATTTTAGTTGAATCAGTAACAGATTAGGACAAAGTGTGGCTTTCCGAAGGCTTCCTTTGTCTTATTGAGATATGATCATAAATGCCAAGTGAAAAACATTGGCTTCTGGGATATATATTATTTTCAAGGTAGAGGAAACTTTGGGTGAGAGAGCCGCCTTGAAAAACGTTGCCGTTCAGGATGGTATAGTCTTTTCAAAGAGGAGGAAACTCTGTGCAAAGGAGCTGCCTTGGCAAAAAAAAAAAAGGCTTTTAGAGGAGGAAGCTTTGGGCGAGAGAACTGCCTTGAAAAACATTGGACGAAACTTTGGGCAAGAGAGTTGCTTGGTAAACGTTGACCTCTGGGATTTAGGATAGTTTCAAAGAGGGAGGAAACTTGAAAAATATTTGCGGGTGGGATTCGAAATATTCCCAAAAGGGAGGAAATTCAGGGCGAGAGAGCGGCCTTGAAAAACATTGGATCCTGGGATATATATTATTTTCAAGGGGGAGGAAACTCTGGGCGAGAGAGCGGCCTTGAAAAGCGTCGGCACCTGGGACGTATAGTGCAAGCCACACTCTCTCGGCCTCGGGCGCCCTTCCTCATGCCTTCCTTCCTCTCCCTAGATCTCTCCGACGCCTCCATCTTGGGCCAGGAAGCGGAGGACAACTGGGTCGAAGGCCGGGAAGGGGCTTCGCTGAAATGCCTCGGAGACGGGAACCCACCACCCTCCTACAACTGGAGCCGGTGAGCCTTCCTTGCCCTCTTGCGGGGATCGTGGGGTCGTTCCAGGGGAGGCGGAAGCCTAGGCTCCTTTTGAGGTAGCCGAGAATTGCATTGGTCTTGCTTGCTGCTGCATCACACTCCTGGCTCATGGTCTTACGGAGACGCATGGATACCGTTTGCATGCATCATCATCATTATTATTATTATTATTATTATTATTATTATTTAATATAGTATTATATCTCAAGCCAAGCATAATCTATATCCTGCTTTGCCTACCTCAATTGAGGGACTAGATTAATAATAATAATAATAATAATAATAATAATATAACTAATAATGATAATATAACTTGAATATAATAATATAACTAGATTCCTATTGATGCAAGCTATAATCGCATTGGTCTTACTTGCTGCTGCATTGCACTCTTGGCTCATGGTCCTAATATAATAATAATAATAATAATAATAATAATAATAATAATAATAATAATAATAATCTAAATAATAACTAGAACATAGTAATATAACTTGACCCCTATTGATGCTACAACTGCATTGGTCTTACTTGCTGCTGCATTGCACTCTTGGCTCATGGTCCTAATATAATATAGTCATATAATAGAACATAATAATAATAATAATAATAATAATAATAATAGAATATAATAATATAACTAGATTCCTATTGATGCAGCCTAGAATCGCATTGGTCTTACTTGCTGCTGCATTGCACTCTTGACTCATGGTCCTAATATAATGTCATTTAAAAATATAATAATAATAATAATAATAATAATAATAATAATAATAAAATATAATATAAATAATAATAATAATAATAGTATAGTTTAGAATCACATTGGTCTTACTTGCTGCTGCATTGCACTCTTGGCTCATGGTCCTAATATAATATAGTCATATAATAGAACATAATAATAATAATAATAATAATAAACCTAGGTTATAATACTATAACTAGATTCCTATTGATGAAGCCTAGAATTGCATTGGTCTTACTTGCTGCTGCATTGCACTCTTGGCTCATGATCCTAATATAATATTATTTAAAATATAGTATAAATAATAATAATAATATAGGTTAGAATCACATTGGTCTTACTTGCTGCTGCATTGCACTCTTGGCTCATGGTCTTAATATAATATTATTTAAAAATATAATAATAATAATAATAATAATAATAATAATAATAATAATAATAATATAGGTTAGAATCGCATTGGTCTTACTTGCTGCTGCATTGCACTCTTGGCTCATGGTCCTAATATAATATTATTTTAAAATATAATATAAATAATAATATATTATTATTATATTATATTATTATATATTATTATTATTATTATTATTATTATTATTATTATTATTATTATTATTGATTCTTACCAATGCAGCCTAGTATCACATTGGTGTTATGTGCTGCTGCATCACGCTCTTGGCTCACTTTGTGGTCTATGCCATAAGCCTCCTTTCGCATGGGAGTTGGAGTTTTGCAAAGTCTTTCACCTTCCCTACAACTCCAACTCCCAGCATCCCATCACATTGAGCCACTGCACTTAAGCGGATGCTAAACTGCATCCCTGATCTCTATTGGGTTTGGTAGACCTGCCTTCAAAGGGAAGAAGCCCTGAGCCTCCGTAAACACTGATTCACGGCCCGGCCCTTTTTGCGTCTCTCTCTCTCTCTGTTGTTTTTTTCCCCAACCAGCTGGGACTTGCTCTGTGGGTTTCGGGGAAGCGCCCTCCGGGGAGAAAGGCACCTCCTGGCCCTTTCACTATCGGGATTTTTTGCAATTGTTGCTAATAATAATAATAATAATAATAATAATAATAGTTGGTTGAATTGTGCCTTGCTTCATGAAAGAAGAGGGTTGGACTAGATGACCTTTGGGGTCCCTTCTGACTCTACTATTCTATGATTAGGTCTTCCTTCATGGCATTGGGTTGGACTAGATGACCTTTGGGGTCCCTTCTCTCTAGGTCTTCCTTCACGGCATTGGGTTGGACTAGATGACCTTTGGGGTCCCTTCTCGCTAGGTCTTCTTTCATAGCATTGGGTTGGACTAGATGACCTTTGGGGTCCTTCTGACTCCATAATTCTATGATTAGGTCTTCCTTCATGGCATTGGGTTGGACTAGATGACTCTTGGGGTCCCTTCTGACTCCATAATTCTATGATTAGGTCTTGCTTCACAGCATTGAGTTGGACTAGATGAGTTTTGTGGTCCTTCGGACTCCATAATTCTACAATTAGGTCTTCCTTCATGGCATTGGGTTGGACTAGATTACCTTTGAGGTCCCTTCTGACTCTATAATTCTACAGTTAGGGCTTCCTTCATGGCATTGGGATGGACGAGATGACCTTTGAGGTCCCTTCCGATTCTATAATTATACAGTTAGGTCTTCCTTCATGGCATTGGGTTAGACTAGATGACCTTTGAGGTCACTTCCGACTCTATAATTCCATGATTAGGTCTTCCTTCATGGCATTGGGTTGGACTAGTTGACCTTTGGGGTCCCGTCTGACTCCATAATTCTATGATTAGGTCTTGCATCATGGCATTGGGTTGGACTAGATTTGCTTTGCGGTCCTTCTGACTCCATAATTCTACAATTAGGTCTTCCTTCATGGCATTGGGATGGACGAGATGACCCTTGAGGTCCCTTTTCTCTAGGTCTTCCTTCACGGCATTGGGTTGGACTAGATGACCTTTGGGGTCCCTTCCCTCTAGGTCTTCCTTCAGGGCATTGGATTGGACTAGATGACCTTCGGTGTCCCTTCCGACTCTATGATTCTACCATTAGAATCATGGCATGGCATTGGGTTGGACTAGATGACCTTCAAGTCCTTCTGACTATGATTCTACGATTAGGTCTTCCTTGGTGGAATCGGGTTGGACTAGATGGCTTTCAAGGACCTTCTGACTCTATGATTCTACGATTAGGTCTTCCTTCATGGCATTGGGTTGGACTAGATGACCTTCAAGGTCCTTCTGACTCTACTATTCTACGATTAGGTCTTCCTTCATGGCATTGGGTTGGACTAGATGACCTTTGGGGTCCCTTCTGACTCCATAATTCCACAATTAGGTCTTCCTTCATGGCATTGGGTTGGACCAGATGACCTTCAAGGTCCTTCTGACTCTATGATTCTACGATTAGGTCTTCCTTCGTGGAATCGGGTTGGACTAGATGACCTTCGAGGTCCTTCTGATTCTATGACTCTATGATTCTACAATTAGGTCTTCCCTGGTGGAATCGGGTTGGACTAGATGACCTTCAAGGTCCTTCTGACTCTATGATTCTACGATTAGGTCTTCCTTGGTGGAATTGGGTTGGACTAGATGACCTTCGAGGTCCTTCTGACTCTATGATTCTACGATTAGGTCTTCCTTCGTGGCATTGGGTTGGACCAGTTGACCTTTGGGGTCCCATCTGACTCCATAATTCTATGATTAGGTCTTCCTTGGTGGAATCGGGTTGGACCAGATGATCTTCAAGGTCCTTCTGACTCTATAATTCTACGATTAGGTCTTCCTTCATGGCATTGGGTTGGACCAGTTGACCTTTGGGGTCCCATCTGACTCCATAATTCTATGATTAGGTCTTGCTTCACGGAATTGGGTTGGACTAGATGACCTTCAAAGTCCTTCTGACTCTATGATTCTACAATTAGGTCTTGCTTCACGGCATTGGGTTGGACTAGATGAGTTTTGTGGTCCTTCGGACTCCATAATTCTACAATTAGGTCTTCCTTCATGGCATTGGGTTGGACTAGATGACCTTTGAGATCCCTTCTGACTATAATTCTACAGTTAGGTCATCCTTCATGGCATTGGGATGGACTAGATGATCTTCAAGGTCCTTCTGACTATAATTCCACAATTAGGTCTTCCTTCGTGGCATTGGGTTGGACTAGATGACCTTCTGACTATATATATCTATGAATATGCCTTCCTTGGTGGAATTGGGTTGGACCAGATGACCTTCAAGTTCCTTCTGACTCCATAATTCTATGATTAGGTCTTCCTTGGTGTAATCGGGTTGGACTAGATGATCTTTGGGGTCCTTCTGACTCCATGATTCTACGATTAGGTCTTCCTTGGTGGAATTGGGTTAGACTAGATGACCTTCAAGGTCCTTCTGACTCTATGATTCTATGATTAGGTCTTCCTTCATGGCATTGGGTTGGACCAGTTGACCTTTGGGGTCCCATCTGACTCCATAATTCTATGATTAGGTCTTGCTTCACGGCATTGGGTTGGACTAGATGATCTTCAAGGTCCTTCTGACTCTATGATTCTACGATTAGGTCTTCCTTCGTGGCATTGGGTTGGACTAGATGACCTTTTAACTATATATATCTATGAATATGCCTTCCTTGGTGGAATTGGGTTGGACTAGATGACCTTTGTGGCCTTCTGACTCTATGATTCTATGATTAGGTCTTCCTTCATGGCATTGGCATGGACTAGATGTTCTTCGAGGTCCTTCTGACTCTATGATTCTACGATTAGGTCTTCCTTGGTGGTATTGGGTTGGACTAGATGACCTTCGGGGTCCCAGGATGTGCCTCTCTGGGGAAAGAGGTGACAGGTTCCCCTGGATCCGGTTCTGCCCGTCTCGTGTGCCAAGCCGAGAAGGCAAGCCTGGGCTGGTGGAGAGGGAAGGAGAAGGCCGGGAAAGAAAGGAAGCGCCTTGATGACATCATGAACCCAGGCCGGGCTTCCCGGTTCCCACGCTTGGCCTTGCCTTGCCTTGCATAGCCAAGCGTGTCCAGGCGCCTCCCCATGTGCAAGCGTGTGCAATCTTCACGCAAGGCAGGCGCCTCCCCAAAGGAAGGCGACACACAGGCAGGAGGGGGCCCCAAAGGTCATCCAGACTGACCCCCATCCTGAAATCCCAGGCATCCCAGTAGAGCCCACCGTCCTCAAAGGCCATCTCTCATCCATGAGAGTCCATCCATCCATCCATTAGAGAATCATAGTGTTGCAAATGACCCCGAAGGTCATCTAGTCCAACCCAATGCCATGAAGGAAGACCTAATGACCCCAAAGGTCATCTAGTCCAACCCAATGCCATGAAGGAAGACCTAATCGACCCCGAAAGTCATCTAGTCCAATCCAATGCCATGAAGGAAGATCTAATCAACCCCGAAGGTCATCTAGTCCAACCCAATGCCATGAAGGAAGATCTAATCGACCCCAAAAGTCATCTAGTCCAACCCAATGCCATGAAGGAAGTCCTAATTGTAAAATTATGGAGTCGGAAGGGACCCCAAGGTCATTTAGTCCAACCCAATGACATGAGGAAAAGCATAATCGTGGAATTATAGAATCGGAAGGGACCTTGAAGGTCATCTAGTCCAACCCTATACCATGAGGGAAGGCATAATCGTGAATTATGGAGTCGGAAAAATTCTTGAAGGTCATCTAGTCCAACCCAATGCCATGAAGGAAGACCTAATTGTGGAATCATAGCGTCGGAATGGACCCTAAAAGTCATCTAGTCCAACCCAATATCACAAAGAAAGTCCTAATCATAAAATTATGGAGCCGGAAGGGACCCCCAAGGTCATCTAGTCCAACCCAATGCCATGAAGGAAGACATAATTGCGGAATTATAGAGTCAGAAGGGACCTTTAAGGTCATCTAGTCCTACCCAATGCCATGAAGGAAAACCTCATCGTAGAATTATAGAGTCAGAAGGGACATTGAAGGTCATCTAGTCCAACCCAATGCCACGAAGGAAGACCTAATCAACCCCAGAAGTCATCTAGTCCAACTCAATGCAAAGAAGGAAGACCTAACTGTAGAATTATAGCATCAGAAGGGATCCTGAAGGTCATCTAGTCCAACCCAATGCCACGAAGGAAGACCTAATCGTGGAATTATAGAGTCGGAAGGGACCCCGAAGGTCATCTAGTCCAACCCAGTGCCACGAAGGAAGACCTCATCATAGAATTATAGAGTCAAAAGGGACATTGAAGGTCATCTAGTCCAATCTAATGCCATGAAAGAAGATCTAATCGACCCCAAAAGTTATCTAGTCCAACTCAATGCCATGAAGGAAGACCTAACTGTAGAATTATAGAGTCAGAAGGACCCCGAAGGTCATCTAGTCCAACCCAATGGCATGAGGGAAGGCATAATCGTAGATATATAGAGTCAGAAGGAATCTTTAAGGTCATATAGTCCAACCCAATGCCATGAAGGAAGACCTAATCTACCCTAAAGGCCATCTAGTCCAACCCAATGCCATGAGGGAAGACCTACCATAGAATTATACCGTCAGAAGGGACTCCGAAGGTCATCCAGTCCAACCCAATGCCATAAAGGAAGACCTAACTGTAGAATTATAGCGTCAGAAGGGAACCCAAAGGTCATCTAGTCCATCCCACTGCCATGAGGTAAGGCATAATCGTAGAATTATAGAGTTGGCAGGGACCCCAAAGGTCATCTAATCCAACCCAATACCACGAAGGAAGACCTAATTGACCCCGAAAGTCATCTAGTCCAACTCAATGTCATGAAGGAAGACCGAACTGTAGAATTATAGTGTCAAATGGGACCCCGAAGGTCATCTAGTCAAACCTGATGCCATGATGGAAGACCTAATCGTAAAATTATGGAGTCGGAAGGGACCCCAAAGGCCATCCAGTCCAACCCAATGCCATGAAGGAAGACGTCATCGTGGAATTATAGAGTGGGAAGGGACCCCGAAGGTCATCTAGTCCAACCCAATGCCATGAAGCATAATCATGGAATTATAGTCAGACGGGACCTTGAAGGTCATCTAGTCCAACCCAATGCCATGAAGGAAGGCATAATCATCGAATTATATCGTCAGACAGGACCTTGAAGGTCGTCTAGTCCAACCCAATGCCACGAAGGAAGGCATAATTGTAATATTATGGAGTTGGAAGGCAGCCCGAAGGTCATCTAGCCCAACCCAGCACCATATAATATAATCATAATAAAAACAATATAATATTATTATTATTATTTAATAATAATAATAATTAATAGAAATAATTAATAAATAAAAATATACTATAGTAATTAATAAAAATATAATAAATAAAATAATAATTTAATATTAATATTAATAAAATAAAATATTATAATAAATTAAATTATAATAATTGACAATTAATAATAATAATAATAATAATATAATAAGTTAGAATATAATATAAATAATAACTAAATAAAATGTAATAATAAATAAATAAATATATGATGATTATGATGATGATGATGATGATGATGATAATGATGATAAATATGATTTTATTCCCCAGGCTGGACGAGCCCCTTCCGGACGGTGTGAGGGTCAAAGGGGACACCTTGACCTTCCAGCGGGCCTTGAGTTCGGACGATGGAGGCGTCTACGTGTGCCAAGTTGCCAACAGCTTTGCCACCAAGGAGGTCCAGGCCTCCGTCAACATCAAAGGTACATTGGGGTGGTGCATGGCGAACTACAACTCCCAAAGGCGGTCCTAGCAAACTACGTTTCCCAACCCACTCTCTGTCTCTCTCTCTCTCCATAGGGAACCGGGCCCAGGAGGTGGACGTGGTCTCTGTCTCCATGATCGGGGCTGGGGTCATCGCCGTGGTCCTACTGGGCTTGCTGGTCTTGGTGGTGGCCCTCATGGCTTGCTACCACAAGCGGAAAACCAAGCGCATCACCGAGAAATAGTGAGCCTTCTTTTGGGGGATGGAATGGGACGGAGATCGGCCTTCTAATGCTATTATTATTATTATTATTATTATTATTATTATTATTATTATTATTATTATTATTATTATTATATTTTAATTTATTATTATATTATTATATTTGCATTAATTATTATTATATTATAATTTTATTTAATTGTTATTTTTATTTTCATTTATTATATTATTATATGTTTGTTCATTCTATTATATTTATATTTACTTATTATTATATTTATTATATTATTATATTTTATTTATTACAATATTTATTATATTATTTTTATTATTATTTTATTTATTATTAATTATTATACTGGACCTGGTACTGAATTTTTATTATTTATACCCAGCTCGCATCCTCGCAGATTATTATTATTATAAGTTTATTTATTCCATTCTATTTTTATATTATTATATTTTATTTATTACACTATTTATTATATTATATTATTTTTATTTATTATTATTATTATACTAGACCTGGTACTGAACTTTTATTATTTATACCCAGCTCACATCCTCACAGATTATTATTATTATTATTATTATTATTATTATTATTATTATTTATTCTATTCTATTTATATTTACTTATTATTATATTTATTATATTATTATATTTTATTTATTACACTATTTATTATATTATATTATTTTTATTTATTATTTTTTATTATTATACTGGACCTGGTACTGAATTTTTATTATTTATTCCCAGCTCGCATCCTTGCAGATTATTATTATTATATGTTTATTTATTCTATTCTATTTATATTTACTTATTATTATATTTATTATATTATTATATTTTATTTATTACATTATTTATTATATTATATTTCTTATTATTTTTATTTTTATTTATTATTATACTGGACCTGGTACTGAATTTTTATTATTTATTCCCAGCTCGCATCCTCACAGATTATTATTATTATTATTATTATTATTATTATTATATGTTTATTTATTCTATTCTATTTATATTTATTTATTGTTATTATATTTTATTTATTATATTATTTATTTTTATTTTTATTTATTATTAATTATTATACTGGACCTGGTACTGAATTTTTATTATTTATTCCCAGCTCACATCCTCACAGATTATTATTATTATTATTATTAGTTTATTTATTCTATTCTATTTATATTTACTTATTGTTATTATATTTTATTTATTATATTATTTATTTTTATTTTTATTTATTATTAATTATTATACTGGACCTGGTACTGAATTTTTATTATTTATACCCAGCTCGCATCCTCGCAGGTTATTATTATTATTATTATTATTATTATTATTATTATTATTTATTCTATTCTATTTATATTTACTTATTATTATAATTATTATATTATTATATTTTATTTATTACATTCTTTATTATATTATATTATTTCATTATTATTATTATTATTATTATTATTATTATTTAGTAGTATAACAATAGAATTATAATGTTTCAGGACAGCTGAGGAAAGATTCCAGGTGCATAAACGTCAATCAATCAATAATCACCGCAATGAGTCGCCATTAGGCTGAGAATTGCGGTATATAAGCGAAGTAAATAAATAAATAAATAAATAATCAATAAATGATGATCAATCCTCAATATGTTCCTTGCTCTAATTATTATTATTTTTCTTTCCTCTTCGCATTCAAAAAGTGAAGAGGAGCTGACGCTGACCCGAGAAAACTCCATCCGGAGGCTGCATTCGAGCCACAGCACCGACACTCGGAACCAGGTAAATGCATAATAATAATAATAATAATTATATTATATTATATTATTATTATTATTATTATTATAGTAATATAATAATACCATTATGGAGTTCAAAGGGACCCCACTGGTCATCCAGTCTGACCCTTCGATAAGAATAAGAATAATATAATATAATTATTATAATACAGAATAATATAATAATAGAATTATAAAGTTGGAAGGGACCCCCAAAGGTCATCTAGTCTGACCCGCAATAATAATAATGTAATTTAATTATTATATTATAGAATAATGTAATAATAAAATTATGGAGTTGGGACCCCAAAGATCATCCAGTCTGACCCCCAATAATAATAATAATAATAATAATAATAATAATGTAATGTAATTATTATATTATAGAATAATAAAATAATAGAATTATGTTTCCAAGCTCTGCAGTGCCACCTATAGGAAAACAAGTGGAAAAACAATTGAAACTGAAATAATAATAATAATAATAATAATAATAATAACAATATAATGTAATATAATTATTATATAACAGAATAATATAATAATAAAATTATGTTGGAAGGGGCCCCAAAGGTAATCTAGCCTGATCTCGATAATAATAATATTATATGATGATTATATTATAGAATGATTATTAATTATATTATAGAATAATTATATTGTAGAATAATATAATAATAGAATTATGGAGTTGGAAGGGACCCCAAAGGTCATCCAGTCTGACCCGCAATAATAATAATAATAATAATAATAATAATAATAACATATGATGATTATATTATAGAATGGTAATTAATTATATTATAGAATAATTACATTACAGAATAATATAATAATAGAATTATAGAGTTGGAAGGGACCCCAAAGGCCATCCAGTCTGACCCCCAATAATAATAATAATAATAATAATAATAATAATAATAATGTAATTTAATTATTATATATTATATTATATTATGGAGTTGGAAGAGACCCCAAAGGCCGTCCAGTCAGACCCCCAATAATAATAATAATATAATATAATATAATTATTATATTATAGAATAACATAATAATACAATTATAGAGTTGGACGGGACCCCAAAGGTCATCCAGTCTGACCCCCGATAATAATATGATATGATGATTATATTATGGAATGACCCGCAATAATAATAATATCATGTAATATAATTATTATATTACAAAATAATATAATAATAAAATTATGGTTGGAAGGGACCCCAAAGGTCATCTAGCCTGATTCTGATAACAATAATAATATGATGATGATGATGATTGTTATTATTATATTATAGAATGATATAATATAATAATTATGAATGCTAAAAATAGAATTAAACAAATAGCTGGGTGAATGCATGGGAAATCAGCTGGGTATTCCTACAGAAATGGTGTCAGACTGGGGGTCCCCTTTTAAGTGTAGTGGATGACAGACAGATTGCTTTGGAATAATAATAATAATAATAATAATAATAATAATAATAATAATAATATATGATGATTATATTATAGCATGATATAATACAGTATAATAATTATGAATGCTAAAAATAGAATTAAACAAATAGCTGTGTGAATGCATGGGAAATCAGCAGGGTATTCCTACAAAAATGGTGTCAGATTGGGGGGCCCCTTTTAAGCGTAGTGGCTGACAGACTGCCTTGGAATGGCATGGGCCTTGCTCTCTTTGGAAGCCATCAGGAGAGCTTAGAGTTGGGAAAGGGTTGGACTGGATGACCTTTAGGGTGCCCTTCTCCCTCTCCTTCTCGTTCCCAGACGGAAGAGAGCCTCCCGTTGAGGTCCGAGAGCCGCCAGGGCAGCTTCCGAGGGGACAGCCTTTGCCGGGAGAGCCTCCGTGGAGGGGACAGCCTTTGCCGCGACAGCCGACAAGGGAGCTTCCGCGCCGACAGCCTCCGCGAGACCAGCCTCTGCTCCGTCTTGGTGAGTTTCCGGAGTGGGGGGGACGTTTGCCGTGTCCCCTCCTTTAAAAATTCCCCCAAAATCAGTATTTGTATCACAGAACGCATATACGGCAACTATTCAATGCCAATTACACAATGACAAGACTATAGATAGAGATATTTATATAGGCCTTCACGTCACTCGGTCCCTATAGAGGCTTGCTCGGTTCCATCGCTACTACTCCTTGATGTAAACTTTCCTCCGAAACATAGTATTATTATTATTATTATAAAATACCTCCCCTTACTTACTTACTTACTTACTTACTTAGGCGATCCCTCGTTGACCGAGTAAGATCGTTTCCCAAGTTCGGCAAACATTCAATGCCGATTACACAATGACAAGACTATAGATGGAGGTACTTATATAGGCCTTCACGTCACTCGGTCCCTATAGAGGCTTGCTCGGTTCCGTCGCTACTTCTCCTTGACGTAAACTTTCCTCCGAATCATATTATTATTATTATTATTATTATTATTATTATTATTATTATATACTTCCCCTTACTTACTTACTTACTTACTTACTTAGGCGATCCCTCGTTGACCGAGTAAGATCGTTTTCCAAGTTCGGCAAACATTCAATGCCGATTACACAATGACAAGACTATAGATAGAGATATTTATATAGGCCTTCACGTCACTCGGTCCCTATAGAGGCTTGCTCGGTTCCATCGCTACTTCGCCTTGACGTAAACTTTCCTCTGAATCATATTATTATTATTATTATTATTATTATTATTATTATTATAAAATACCTCCCCTTACTCACTTACTTACTTATTAACTTAGGCGATCCCTCGTTGACCGAGTAAGATCGTCTTCCAAGTTCGGTGTCCGAAGGTGACTGTGGATTCTTGATCCGCATGTTCTCCCGCAGTGGAAGGCAGTCCCAGTCAGGGTTGGATTGACATGCCTTCCTCTTGGCACGTTTCTCCCTTTCGCCCTCCATTCGTGCCTCTTTGAATTCCGCAGCACTGCTAGTCACAGCGGGCCTCCAGCTAGAGTGCTCAAGGGCCAGGGTTTCCCAGTTCTCGGTGTCTCTGCCACAGTTTTTAAGGTTGGCTTTGAGTCCATCTTTCAATCTCTTTTCCTGTCCTCCGACATTCCGTTTTCCATTCTTGAGTTCGGAGTAAAGCAACTGCTTTGGGAAATGGTGGTCGGGCATCCGGACAACGTGGCCGGTCCAGCAGAGTTGATGGCGGAGGAGCATCACTTCAGTGCTGGTGGTCTTTACTTCTTTCAGCATGTTGATGTTTCCCTGCCTGTCTTCCCGAAAGATTTGCAGGATATTTCGGAGGCAATGCTGGTGGAATCATTCCAGGAGTTGAGTGTGACGTCTGTAGACGGTCCACGTTTTGGTTGAGTGTGACGTCTGTCAACAGTCTATGTTTCGGTTGAGTGTCACTGTCGACAGATGTCACACTGAACCAAAACATGGACATCACATCTGTAGACAGTCCACGTTTTGGTTGAGTGTGATGTCTCTAGACAGTCCACGTTTTGGTTGAGTGTGACATCTGTCGACAGTCCATGTTTTGGTTGAGTATGGTGCCTGTAGACCAGTGTTACTCAATCTGTGAGTGCCCAGGTGTTTTGGCCTACAACTCCCAGAAATCCCAGCCAGTTTACCAACTGTTAGGATTTCTGGGAGTTGAAGGCCAAAACATCTGGGGACCCACAGGTTGAGAACCACTGCTGTAGACAGTCCACGTTTTGGTTGAGTGTGACGCCTGTACACAGTCCACGTTTCAGTTGAGTGTGACATCTGTAAACAGTCCACGTTTTGGTTGAGTGTGACGTCTGTAGACAGTCCACATTTTGGTTGAGTGTGACGTCTGTCAACATTCCATGTTTTGGTTGAGTGTGATGCCTGTAGACAGACCACATTTTGCTTGAATGTGATGTCTGTAGACAGTCCACGTTTCGGTTGAGTGTGACGTCTGTCGACAGTCCACATTTTCCTTGAGTGTGACGTCTGCTGACAGTCCACGTTTTGGTTGAGTGTGACATCTGTAGACAGTCCACGTTTCGGTTGAGTGTGACGTTGGTAGACAGTCCACATTTTGATTGAGTGTGACGTCTGTAGGCAGTCCACGTTTCACAGGCATATAGCAGGGTTGGGAGGACAATAGCTTTATAAACAAGCCCCTTGGTCTCCCTACGGATGTCCCAGTCCTCAAACACTGTGCTTCATTCGGAAAAATGCTGCACTCGCAGAGCTCAGGCTGTGTTGTATTTTGGTGTCAATGTTGACTTTTGTGGAGAGGTGGCCGCTTAATGAGGTTCCTATTCATCTACTCACATTGCTGTTTTCGATCCACTAAGTGAGCAGCAGGTCAGACCTTGGAGGTGTCTATGGACAATGCCGGCTCTTCCACTTAGAAATGGAGATGAGCACTACAGTCCCAGAGTCGGTCTCGACTGGACTTAATGTCAGGGGAAAACCTTTACCTTTACCTTAATTATATATTGTAAGACTGTAGGATCTATATAGCAATATTAAATAAGCACTCACAAGCCGGTTTTGCTTTGAAATTGATATATTGCTTGTATCTCTGCAGCAAAGAAAGACACTACGGACTTTTTCCTACCACCACTTCCTTTTATACACCTTTCCTTAATAGAACTTGTTGCTTCACAAGTTCCACTACAAGGCTTCCAGCGCCCTCTGCTGGCTTCAAAATGTCACAGAGAGAGAATTGAGTCAGCCAGGATGATTCAGTCAGGATGTCACGGAGGGAATTTGTGATGTCTTCACACCATCAGAAATTGACTCCTGACATATATATAATTACTAGCTTGGGGACCCGGCGCTGCCCAGGTTATTTGAGATAGGCATTGTGTATCAAGGTTGGTCTTTATGAGTTATTTATATGGCTCGCAGTGGTCTCAGGAAGTTAGTGAAGGTACTGCGAGGCCCATCATCTGTGGCCCATTCTCCTCCAAACTGCACCAGGATGGAGAATGGGTCATGGGGGCTCTGTGTGCCAAGTTTTGTCTTGATAGGTCATTAGATGAGGGTTCCAGCAGTCTTGGGAAGGGAGTGGAGGTACTTGAAGTCCCATCATCCATGGTCTGTCCTCCTCGAAAGTGCACCAGGATGTGGAGTTGGCCACAGGGGCTCTCTGTGCCAAGTTTAGTCTTTATTGGTATTGGGATGAGTGTTGCAGTGGTTTCAGGAAGTGAGTGAAAGTACTGCAAGCCCCATCATCCATCGTCCGTCCTCCTCCAAACAGCACCAGGATGTAGAGTGGGTCATGAGGGTTCTGCCAAGTTCGGTTTTTATTGGTAATTGGATGAAGGTCAAAGCGGTCTCAGAAAGTGAGTGATGGTGGGAACCAAACCATTTGAAAGTACTACAAATCCCATAATCCATGGCCCACCTCCCCCATACCACGCCAGGACATAAAGAGGGTCATGGGGGTTATGTGTGCCAAGTTTGGTGCACATGTGTCACGCCTGTTGGTCACAGTGGCCTGTGAAAGTGGCAGCCAATCAGAAAGCTACCACATACACCTCCTCCACATACCCACATACAAACATTCTCTTTTATTATATATATATAGATGATTGGCTTCTCCTTCACCGAGTGTGGCTTCAGCTCCACCATCTCCACCTTGAGGTTCCCGTCTTATGTAATACATGTCAACGGAATAGTGATATGTTTGATGATTGGATGCCAATGTTATCATCGCCTGTTGTGTTTTCTCTCTCTCGTAGAGCGAGGAAGCGGAGGGCCGCAGCTACTCCACTTTGTCGACAGTGCGGGAGATCGAGACGCAGACGGAGCTTCCGCCGCCACCCCCGACTCCGGTCCAGGAGGAACGGAAGGAGGAAAAGGAAGAGGAAGCGGGCGAGGAAGAGGAAGACGAGGAAGCGGAGCGGGAGCAGCGGGACGGGGAGAAGACCATCAAGCAGGCCATGACCCACTTCGTCCAGGAGAACGGCACCCTCCGGGCCAAGCCCACCACCAACGGGATCTACATCAACGGGCGCGGGCACCTGGTCTGACTTCCTGACCCTCGGTGGGACCGAAATCCTAAACCCGAAATCCAATATGGAAACTGTAACGGGGAGTCCGATATGAACCCCGATTGAAAGGCAACCCTTCGTAATCGGGGAGCGGTATGATTTTTGTAAGACTATTTCAGAGTGGATTCGGGATGGGAAAAATTGTCTTTCGGAGCGAATTCGGAACTGGAAAAATTCGTCTTTCGGAACGAATTCAGACACGAAAACAGCGAATTCGTTTCCCATTCGACTCCGGACTCTCTTGTTATTAAGACAAGGAGGTCAGATTGAAAACAAACACATGTTAAGTTATGTATTATTATTATTATTGTGGGTCTTGGACGATGCCCGGATTAACATTACGGGAGAAGAATTGAGTCCCGTAAAGAGCGGAAACCCCAAAGTGTAATTGTGATGATTCGAACACTGATGACGATGACGATGACGCAATACCTGCCAGAATCCTTCTCCAATGGATTTCTGCATTGCCTTAATTGCACCCGCCGGGATTTGATAAGCCAGCGAAGGACTCTGCTCGTACGGATCCCAAACGGATGGGAAGCTATCTATCTGGAGAGCCAAATATGATGGAAGAATGGGGGGAAAGTGCCTTTCTGGGGAACTCTATGGACTTTGTAAGGTTTTCTGATCAATGGGTTGAAGTAGAGCCTTGGTGGTTTCCCATCCAAATCCCGACCGGGGCCAACCCTGCTTAGCATCCAAATTCTGACCGGATTTGGCATCTAAAAACACATCCAGATCAACCCATTGCAGTCTCAGATAGCTCAAGAATAAAAATGAATTGAAATAGACCCTTGTAAGGAATTGGCAGACTCCCATCCAAAGCCCGACCGGGGTCGACCCTGCTTAGCATCCAAATTCTGACAGGATTTGGCATCTAAAAACACCTCCAAATCTACCCATTGCATTCCCAGATATCTCAAGAATCAAAATGGGTTGAAATAGAGCCTTGCAAGGAACTGGCGGTCTCCCATCCAAATCCTGACCGGGGCCAACCCTGCTTAACATTCAAATTCTGACTGGATTTGGCATCTAAAAACACCTCCAAATCAACCCATTGCATTCCCAGATATCTCAAGAATCACAATGGGTTGAAATAGACCCTTGTAAGGAATTGGCGGACTCCCCTCCAAATCCCGACCAGGGCTGACCCTGCTTAGCATCCGAGTTCGGACTGGATTCGAATGCTTCGGCTTCTAAAATCACATCCAAATCAATCTACTACCTTCCCATATCTCACAAATCGACTTATCCTTTGGAGGAAACGGATTCAAAAATCCTATTAAGTGTTAAACTATATATATATATAGATATATATAAATGTATATTTTTAAATGTCTTTGTATTGTTTTGATCGGCGGATGCGTATCCGCACTGGAGGATTGATGCAGTTTGGCGCCACTTGGGCTCGTGACTATGGATCCCTTGCAAAACTACCACTCCCATAGCACTGAGCTATGGTCATTAGTTACACAAGTGGCGCTAAACTGGTTAATTCCGCAGTGTGGACGCTCGCCCCTTTGTGTGACTTTCCTGCAGCTATTTCTTGATCCATTCAAAAGGCAGCTTATACTTGGAAGAAAGAGGATGTAATGGGTTCGAATATATATATATATATATATATATATATATATATATATATATAGTGTGTGTGTATATATATGATATATATGTATCGTATATATATATAGTGCGTCTACATTGTAGATTTAATGCACTTTGGCTCCACTGTGATTTGGGATTTGGAGTGTATATATATATATATGATATATATGTATCGTATATATATCGTGCGTCTACATTGTAGATTTAATGCACTTTGGCTCCACTATATGTATGATATATGTATCGTACATATATATATAGTGCGTCTACATTGTAGACTTAATGCACTTTGGCTCCACTGTGATTCGGGATTTGGAGTTGTCGTTCGCCAAGCAAAGGCCTTGCCGAACTACAACGCCCAATATTCCATAGCATTGAGCCATCGCCATTCCAAGTGGTCCTGATCCGCATTAATTCCGCAGTGTAGACGCACCCAAAGAAGGCTAATATATGGAAGACCTTTGAGCGAAAACTACAACTCCCAGAAACATGAGGTCTTTTTTGTACGATCTGTAAATGTCTTTGTATATATGTCTATGTCTCTCCCTCTTTCTCCGTATTCATATATATATACACATACACATAAATACTAGCTTGAGGACCCAGCGCTGCCCGGGTTATTTGAGATAGGCACTGTTTACCAAGTTTGGTCTTTATCAGTTATTTATATGGCTCGCAGTGGTCTCAGAAAGTTAGTGAAGGTACTACGAGTCCCATCATCCGTGGTCCATCCTCCTCCAAACACCACATGGATGTAGAGTGGGTCATGGCGGCTCTGTGTGCCAAGTTTGGTCTTGATCGATCATTAGATGAGGGTTGCAGCAGTCTTGGGTAAGGAGTGGAGGTACCTGAAGTCCCATCATCCATGGTCTGTCCTCCTCGAAAGTGCACCGGGATGTAGAATGGGTCATGGGGGCTCTGTGTGCCAAGTTTGGTCTTTATCTATCTTTGTTGGGGGCCACAGTGGTCTGTGGGAACCGAAGGGTTGGAAAGTACTACAAATCCCATCATCCATTGTCCAGCCTCCCCCAAACCTCGGGGGCACATAAAGGGGGTCATGGGGGTTAAGTTTGCCAAGTTTGGTCTTGATCAGTCATTGGATGAGGATCGCGGCCGTCTCGGCAAGCGAGTAGAGGTACTTCAAGTCCCATCATCCATGGTCCGCCCACATCGAAACTGCAGTATGACG